AAAGTAACTCGCAGCTATCCTACATCAATGAATTTGTCATCCAAGTATCCAACAATGCAAAGCTAATTTATTCAATGCAATTTCTACTAAAATATAGGTTTTTAAATCAATATTAAGTAAATTGCTAATTAGGATAGTGCAACTTGTCATTTTTGTGGTGGCACTAAACCGTGCTATCCACCCGTGTTAAAATTATGTTAAAATAGTATTAATCTAAGTGATCTACTCTCTAGAGCAGTCAAGTGCATATTTTTTTGGTGGCACTATATGTTGTGCTGCCCACTCACCTTAAGTGAAATTTATTTAAAGAAGTTAAAGTGAATGTAGTGTTTATATAAATTGGACATATAGTTTCAATAGAGTTCAAAGTGGCATGTGCGTTAGATAGCTTAGGAATTGTAAATTGAAACTTATTTATCATGGTATTGTTAGACTATATAGTCATTTTGTTTTCAATTAATTTTATAGCAGTATAATGTGTCCTTTTTGTGTTGCACTCAGCTTATATAAAACTTATCTCAAAGAAGTCAAAATGAATGAAGAATTTATTTAAACTGCATATATATTGTGACATCCAAGATTTTAAAGGGGCACACGTCCGGGACTTTATGCCTTAATTTAATTGTGTGGCAGAAGAAAACTAGAAGGTTTTTATTGTGGTGTTGCCCAAATATATTGTAGGTTTTTTGTATGTAATTATTGTTATATTTTTTAAGTCAGTTAGATTTTATTAATCAGTTTTTAAAAGCTATTAGTTCTAGGTTATATCAATTTATAAGTTTTTATTTATAACTTAACAATTTAAATAAATTTATGTTATAGATATATTTAACTTAAATATATAAAAAAATAAATAAATTAACAACGTCATACAACTATAATTTACAATACAATAATTTTTATGCTAAAGCAGATATTATATTGTTTCAAAAAAATTTATTACATAATAAATAAAATTATAAAATTAATCAAAATCAATTAACCCTATATAAACCTCATAAATAAAAATGAAGGTCCATCTACAACTTAATCTATTGATTTTCCTTAGATACCAGCTTTTTTTTTATCGAAGTTTGATTCATTCACAAGCCTCATTCACAAACCTCATTCACAAACCTCATTCACCAGCTCCATATGGATGCCACCAAAGAATTTTGGTTAGTTTTTCAAGAATATTAAATAAACTAATACTTAGAATAGTGCAATGTATTATTTTTGTTGTGGCGCTGTATTGTGATACCCACCAAACTCGTGTAAAATTTATTTTAAAGAAGTTAGTATGAATGTGTAATTTATTTAAGCTGGATATATTATTTCATTATGAAGTTTAAATGGTCATGTGTGTTCCATGATTTAGAAGTTGAAAAAAGATTCTTTATGGTGGTTTTGCTAGACAAAATTTTAGGTTTGACTTTAACTAATTTTACAGTAGTGTAACATGTCATTTATATAGTGGTGTTATGTTGTGCTATCCACTTAATTTGTGTCAATTTTATTTTTAAAAAATATGTGAAATATATATTTATTTAGAACTAGTTTAAAAAATCATGACTCCAATTTTGTAATTCGATAAATACTTTTTTAAATTAATTAAAATTACCCCCATAAATCAAAACCATGGTCGAATTAGAACTTCATTTATTAATTCTTCTTGGAGCACATCTTTTATTCCTTGAAGTTTAACTCATCCACAAAATCTCGTTTATTAATGAACATTGGATTACAAACTTCCATTTGGATGCTTGTTAAAGATTAGTTGCAAGTATTTTTTATTAATCTTAAGTAAACTATTGCTTAGAACACTGCAATATATATTTTTTGTTGTTGCACTATGTTATGTTACCTATCCAACTTGAGTAGAACTTATTTTAAAGAAATGTAAAATTTATTTGAACTGGATATATTATATTGTATTATTATGGAGTTTAAATGGTCATGAGTGTTGCATGACCTAGAAGCTGAGAAAATGAAGTTCTCTGTTGTGGTTTTGCCAAACAAAATTGCAAGTTTGACTATAATTAATGTTATAGTAGTGTAATATGTCATTCATATGGTGACATTATATTGTGCCACCCGCTTGATTGTATCAAATTTCTTTCAAAAAATATATAAAATTTTATATAAAATTGCTTTAAAAAATCATAATTCTAATTATGTAATTCGAAAAATATTTCTTTCTCAATTGAAATTCAAATTTTATTACAAAGATAAATTTTAATCTCTCCCCGTCTTGGAGTAAACTTTTGGATTTCAAAAGTGAGTTAAATTGAATTTTAATGTGATTTTGATTATTTTTAGTTGATATTAAAAATAACGACAAATCAAAATGATATATAACATTAAAATGTCCATTTTAATCTAAACCCATTCCGAGGTTAGGGTGGGAAATCTGAAATCTGTGAGTCGACGATAGTGGATTCAAATAGTGTTTGAAATCCACTTTTAATTGTGTTTGCAATCCATTCAAACACATTGGCAAAATTACTCATTCATGAGTGTTTGAAATCCATTCAAATAGTGGATTCAAAAAATTATTCAATATTGGAAAAATTATTCACTCTTTAGTACCTATTTTAACAAGGGAAAAGTTTATATAGAGCCTAGCCTGTAAACAATCAAATTAGAGCCTACCTCAAAACTTTCACTAGAAGAGGTCATTTTGATGGCCAAATATCATCATATTGATCATCTCGACATCAAGATGCATGGACATGAAAACAAATAGATTTCAAGTTTTGGACATAGTGCAACTGGTAATGCACTTTTGGATAATCAATTTTCAAGATTTTCAAGTTTTCATATATCTGCTCGATCTACATTATTTTTGAAGCTTTAAATTTTATAACTAAAGATGAAAATATAATTTAAAGCTCTCACAAAAATTTCCAGTATTGAAACCATATTTCTCGACACTATTTGAAGGTAGGCTCCAATTTGATTATTTAGAGCCTCGGCTCTATACAAACCGCACCCTTTTAATAATGTTATCTAAAAAAAAATATAAGTATTGCTTCAAAAAAGCATGATTTTAATAATGTTTTGAGAAATATTTTTTCTGAAACCCAAATTAGAATTTTATTATACCAAATTATAAAATTTAACTCCTCTCAATTTTAGTAACAATTCGAATTTTAAAAGAGAGTTAAATTACACTTTGATGCCAATTTGACTATTCAAAGTAGATGTAATAGCAATTATGGTTTTAAAAGAATTTTTTTATTTAAAAATAAAAATATTAAACATTATTTTAAAAAACATTTGATGCAATTTTTAGTTGAGGGATCATATAACATGTAAGGGAAACATAGACGCCCTTTTTACTATGGTGTTGGTCACACACATGAACTATACCAAGAAAAGTGCACACTATATAAAGAAACTTTACTAGTCCAACCAACATACGCAACGAACTCCAAGCAATTTTATTTATCCAACCAACATACGAAACCAAACTCCGAACCTGAGATGGATTTCTTGACTACCACCTTGCTACGAACCTCCTTGCGTTTTACATATAGAAGATATATACGGTTATTCTATGATACACCGCACTAATGGTAAACATAAAATTTAGCATTCGAAATTTATTTACCATAAAATACCCTTACATCATCAAACATTACTTTTTATCACAAACATTTCATATACTTTGGAAAAGGTATTTTGGTCTTTTTAAAAACCCTCCTAAATTCAATTTTAAATTAAAAAATATTCCCTTGATTTTTTAATGATTTTTGGACTTTAACGGTAAATTAAATTTTAATTTATCTTTAAAGTCCAAAAATCTCAAAATTTTCAAATAAGCAATTGTTAATATACTTTTTTATATTTATAAGGACATTTGATGTCAAAAATTTTGGAACTATTAAATTCTAAGTTCACCATTAGAACGATATATTTTAAAATAACTCATATATATATATATATATATATATATATATGGCCGTGATTTCATGCAACGGTTATATCATAGTATGATGCAACCACACTCATAAAAACCACGTTTGTAGCATTGGTATGACCCAAAATTTTGGGTACACATACTCTCTTCATCTCAATAATCAATCCTAAAAAAAGAGTTCAATTTGAACCCTAGATATGGTCAAAATAAGTCCTCTCCAACAATGAATCTAGACCATTCATTTGGTGAATTTCAAAATCTTAGTCTTTAAGAACTCAAAATCATTTTTTCTTTTTTTAACATTGTTCATCTCACGATAGTAAAGCCATCCAAAAAATTTGGAAAAGAAAAAAATCCTTCTGAAACCTAAATCTAAGCATCTTATCAAAATGGATGGCCTATGTTAATTGGGCTAAAAAATTACTTTCTAAGTTCCATTTTCATTTTTTGTTTGTGATTGTTTATTAGAATGAAAATAATGTATATTTTAAATTTTGGATAAAATAAACGGCCCTAACATGGTTTCTTAAGGTTGTTCCCATACATACATACATACATACATATATATATATATATATATATAGAAAGAGAGAGAGAGAGAAAGAGAGCTGCAACATTTGGTTTGCTACGGAACTTCTAAAAGATCGTGGACCACATATTCCAGGCCAACTTGGCCACTCACTACCAATAAACCACAGCTATATTCATAGAACATCACCATAGTTCAGAATAAGATTAGGGACAAAATTGTCAAAATCAAAAACCATATCTCTATAAGCTAAATACGAGGTACCAATTTCAAAAAAGGATCTATGAAGTTCAAAAATTATGACAATATAGGCAAGCGGGTTCCACAAATATTATAAGAGCAAGAAGGCAGAAAGATAAGGGTATCAACAGTTCTTTTAAATGATTCCCTAAAGCTATCAAATTTATTTTATAGGTAGGTCTAGGAAAATATCCATACACAATGTGGCAGAAATTTAAAGGTCTCTTCATTTTGTTTAAGATATTAAGTAAATATTAAATTTGTTTAAACACAAGAAAGGAGATAACCTGTTATGAACTTTAAAAAAACAAAAAAAAAAAGTAAACATACCTTGGCATTGACGCCATCAGGAACAATCCTGCCCTCTTCCTTCCATTTCAGATAATCAGTACGGCTGAACTTGGTGAATCCCCTAGGAAGAAATAGAGAAAAAAATATTAGATGATGCATCTTCAAGCAACAAAAACTCTATCAACCCAAAACATGGTTTGAGAATCTCCACGGGTGAACTAAAGTTAAATTATTCATCAGAATAGTAGTGTATGTGTACTATAAGACCGTTTACTTTAGATACAAGAACCTCACAATCACACTCCCAGGCAGTTGGATATCAAAATCGCAAGGGTAAGGGTGTGTCACGAAGTTGGAGGAAAACTACATAAAATTTTATGCAGATACCCTTAACCACCAGATCTCACATCAAATGGCTAACGGTGATTGTGACATTGCACAAATGACAGACGGCCTTTTTGTATACTTTTCCAAAAATAAAATGTCATCTGATAATCAATAATCAAATCACTCATGATAATCAGTGATCAAAAACTCAATGGACCATCATTGTCCAATTTTACGTATATGGACAAATAATCTCCACCAGAATTCTAAATCCATAATTACCATTTAACCTATTTATCTCTGATTAATTGATTGTTCATTGTATAATTCGAAAAGCCAAAAAGAAAATTATATGAGAATTCTCTAATCCTCAGTTACAATTGGATATGCCAATTCAATCAAAATTTGTTTTCCAGGTAATTTTTTTTTTGTTCTCCAGGAAATTACTAAATAATTCATTATATTGTGAACGTAATGACAATCTTAATGGGCCAGGTTGCATTTAACAAATCAAACTGTAGCTCCAATTATAGTTTCAAAATTCGGATAATTTCCAATAATTCATTTTTCATTTCAGGATCAATACCACACAAATGGTATAATGGGCGAGGCGCATCCTCAATATTCACTATAATACCACTTTCACCCAAATTTCTGCAATGAATTCCTATTATGTTGCCCTTTTCCAATTTATGCATGATTCTAAGACAGTGTACACAGAGCAAGTTATATAAAATTATGGAAGTCAAAAAAAATTAGGCTCCTTTCTTTACTTCTGTGAATGCAGATTCAACATAGAATCAAAATTTCAAAATTTGGACACTCATTTCTCATTGACTGGCCAAAAAAATTTCAATTTTCAACATCTTGAATTGGTCCCTAGGTGAGAAACTAATAAAAAAAAAAAATTCCAGCATTTTCCCCAAACAGAAGAGCAGCACTCCTTAGAGAGAAATTAGAGGGAAAAAAAACTGCAGCCACTTTATAGGTCATACTAAAAATCTGATACGCATTCATTAGTTTCATCCTTTTGGGGTGCGTGTGTGTGTGGGGTGGGGGGCATGTGTAGCCAGGTGGTCTATTGAATAGGCCGCGCGCCTCAAATTCAATCCGATAACATCCAACGGCTAGCACATCTGGGAACCTTTTCGATTTTAATTTTATCTAAATATCCTTTTGAGCTAAAATTTTGTGTCAAGAAGTGTGAAACCTAGAAGCAGAAGTACAAAAATTAAAAAAATTTGCACTCAAAATTTAAAAATGATGATAACGCCCCCACACCTGTTAGTGAACATGGATCGTCCAGATTGTTAAATATGGGTCGTCCAGCCTATATTGTAGCATAGGCCAGATGGCTCACAAAATCAAATACCATTGATAAACAAACAACTAAACAAATGCACAGTTGCTTTCTTTCTTTATAAATTATCGCACAGGTTCTCCTGAGAAATATTACCATTTTCTGCTAACGATGATCTTTTGCCTGCCAGGGAACTTGAACTTGGCACGACGCAAGGCTTCCTGAGCATGGTTGCCATTACTGTCCTTACAACGCACAGACAAGAGAACCTGCCCAATGCTCACTCTTGCACATGTACCCTGCGGCTTTCCAAATGCACCCCTCATTCCAGTCTGGAGCCTAAAATCATAGACAAGTGCAAGGCATGAGCAACAGAGACCCAAACCATAGAAATTGCAATCTATTTTCTGATGAACTTAAATATTTCCCAATAACCCAAACCATAGAAATTGCAATCAATTTTCTTATGAAGTTAAATATTTCCCAATAAATGCTTCTCCAGGATGGTTGTTTCCAGGTCAACATCCAAACTAGGGTCCATCCAAAACTAATGTCCATATTTAAATGAATGAAGATAGAAAAAAGCTTCCGAGCAAATCCAGCCTAAAAAGATAAAAAATGGCATAGGGGTCATTCACTTACACTGCATTATCCAGAAAATTCAAGAGATCATGTCCACCGTGAAAATGTACAACACAAAAACAAATACAAATCATAGGACAAAAGTTGGGATATTGTGAAATTTAGACTATATTAAGCATTTACCTTTGGTACAAGAAGGTCACAACCAACCCTAGATGTTAAATGTGAAAATAGAGCATCCACATTTGCATCATTTCCCGCACAAAGTTTAAAAATAATTTTATCGAACTCTAAACACGATTAATGTTACTCCTTGAGCCAATTAATTTCACATCTAATGGCCTAGGGTGGTAAATGGCTCTATCAGTGTTTTAAAATGCGGCTGCATCATGCAGTATGTGGTGGGCTCCGCATCATAACAGGCCGCATATGTGCTTTTGACCTATGTGGCCGCATATGCACCGCATCAGGCTGCATCCCGCATTGCACTGCATCTCCTTCTGCCGAATTGTTTTTTGATTTTGCCCCTCGGGGAGGGGCAAAATGGTCTTTTTGACCATCCAAAAATGGGGGAAACTGTTTGGGGGGGTATTAAACCCCCTAAACGATGATTTCCAGCACTTTTGTGGCCTTTTTTTGCATCAAATCAAGGGAAAAAAAATTTGGCAAAAATTTATTTTTCATTCAAATCTTCGATTTGGGGATTGCTTGATACTTGGATGTTGATTTGATGCTTTTGATTGTTAATTTGGAGATGCTATAGTGAATTTGTGATAAGAAATCGGGTGGCAAAATTTGACTTCAAATTTCAAAATTGACTCTCAAAATGGATGATTGTATTAAGTTATTAACTATTAACTCTTCATGAGCTTGACTTTTGGTTTGTAATATCACTATTTTGTGCTTATGATTGCGCTTATGGTTGTTTATGGTTGTGCTTATGGTTGTTGATGGTTGTGCTTTTGTGCTTATGGTGCAAATTTGTGCTTATGGTTATTGATTGTTGAATGTTTTATGAAGCTAGTTTCAAGTTTCTAGTTTCTATCAGGGGCTAGTGGATAACTGGATACAGAATCTCCGACAGATAATAATTTTGAAGTTAATCATTAAACTAAAATACCTATTATCACATATATCACCACCATATTTTTTTTCTATGCATTAACTTATATATTTAGATTTTTTAGAATTTTTTCACATTTATTGACCACATCGTCACGATGCACCCGCATCCGGGCCGTATCGGGCCCCCGACCGCTTTTGGCCGCATCCCACATTTTAAAACACTGGGTTCTATTATATACTTAACCTGAAAAGATTATACATGCAAGGATTTTAAAAAGAAAGATAGCCTTTGAGGTCACACTTGTGGCATTTATGAAGATTGGCATGTGTTCATAAGAGCTCTGATACTAAGAAAATAAATCAGTTCATCAAATATTTTCTAGAACCACATTTCTCAATACCAAAGATGGTCATAAACGCAGACAAAGGGCATCATGAGCATTTTCAAGAGCAGTGTTGTGGTAATTCAAGAAAAAATTGGGCCTTTTTCCAGCATTTTCTGCCGAAGCCAACCCCCTAATCATTTTAGACATGTATGAGATATCCCAAAAAATGTAGCAAACTAGCACCAGATATTGGCAATCAGCATCCAATCACACAGATTCCAATTAGTATTAAAAGGAGTAGAAGCATACAACTTCATAAAGCAAGTACAATAGAGCCCAATCTAATAGCACTCTGAAAAAAAGTTATACCTCAGCAACTCAGGGCTATTAACGATCATGAACCTAGTTGCATGGGTTTTTACCCTATACTACAAAACTTGTTTTAGAAACACACACAGATTATTCCAGGTTGAAGGATGAATGGATAACATCTTGTAAGGGTGCCAAGCAAAGTTGTGATAGATTCAGTTCCCATCATGAAAGAAAGATAAAGGAAAAAATCATACCTATCGGCACCAGCACAAGAAAGCATCTTGTTAATCCTCAAAACATGGAAAGGATGCACCCTAACTCGAAGATGGAATGCATCCTTTCCAGCAAATTTCGTCATATATTTGTTACAGGCAATGCGTGCAGCCTCCAAAGCCTCGCTAGACACATTCTCTTTCTCCCAACTTACAAGGTGAACACAGAAGGGGAATTCATCCACTCCCTTCCTCTTCATGCCAACATCATAAATCCTGATTTTTGGATCAGGGACACCCCGGCAGTACCTTGATTTTGGGTATGGCTTATTTTTAATCTGACGATAGCATCTTGCAGGTCCTGCCAAATGCCGCTCATTTAACTTAAAACATTTTCATATATATCATGCAAAATACTGAGTACCAAGAGGAATCATAAAACCTATATACCCATATGGATCAAAACACGCACTCTTTTAAGACTATGCCCTACATGCCAAATTTCAGAGTTTTCAATGAGTTGTGGTACCTAATAACACCTTTATGTTTAGAACAACAAAGCTTACATTCAATATACCTGTTTATTTTCAGAAAAGGCATTGTCCTTTAACTTTAGAAACTGCATATCTTTCAATAAATAGTACAAACTAAGACAAGTAAACCAAAAAATATAACCATTCACATAAGAGTTGCCATTTGGTAAATGGAATTGGCGCAGGTAACTCTGGTTACAATAGCTCAATTCAAACTTCAGCTAAGAGAAAAATTACCAGGTGTCAATACACACCCATGCAAATAAAACTACAAAACCTAATATCATTGCAGACAACTATATGCAGAAACTGTTAACTTGTGGCACAATATAATTGATTCAAAGTCTTTATTGATGAAAGATTAATTTAAATATCTGAAAAAGGTCACAATTATGGCCCTCTTTAGATGCAGAATAAGGTAACAAATTCATTGAGGGTAGATTTTTTTCTTTATAAAGTTTCAGTGCAAAATTAAATGTTTTCTCATTCTTGAGGAAATTTTTCTTATCAGTTATTAGCGATGAACCAAATAATAGTGCACCACTTTTCTCAATCAAAGATTCTCACTCAACAAGAATCTTTCTCTAGATTATTCCAGTTGATGCATTGATTTAAGACTTCAAGAAGATATTAAAATGCATTCCAGTCCTTGGTAATTTTCTGCATAGCCATCACTAGTAGGAAACAAATTATTTACTAGTACATGAGCCAATACCTCAACAATAATGTGATCACCCTAATATGTAATCTGCTGACTGATACAAACCCCTATTTTCAAATTTCAATATGATAACACCATTATCATCCAATCCTTATCCCAATGATTTGGGGTCAGCAAATTTCAATATCAAATCCAAATGCAAAATAGCTACATGGATACTACGTTCAAAGGACCAATAACTAAAATCAACTAAGTATTTATTAATTTTCACATAGAAACCATTAAAATAACATTAAAAAACCATGCAAAACAAAACTACCACCTCACTAAAATTCCATTATAGTGTTACCGTTATATCCAAAGAAGTCCAGAGATTCATATTTACAGAACTGAAATGATCATCAAAACCTAAACATAAATCTCCGATATTAATAAGAAAATTTCCCACCAAGGGAACCTCGAGGCAGACCCAAAAAGTGATTCCTGATTAATCTAATATCCAGATCTAAACCCAATTCATTTGCAAATAATCATAGTATAAATCAAACCAACAAATCAGAAGAAACAGCAACAAAAGTCAATTGAAAAGACGATAAAAAATTAATCGGAAACCAAGAAGTATGAAGGCATAGCTTTTCTTACTTCGACCCATGACCTTCCTGAGTCTCCCGTCGCTGTGTTGGATGGAAAGAGAAACCCTAAAACAAGGCGATTTGCTAAAAATTTATCGAGTGATGGGCAATCGTGATATGACCATGAGATCCGAAACCGTTTTTATTGACGAAACTACCCCGAATGCTTGAGGAAATAGCTAGAAGAACCCTGGTTCTCTTTAGTATATGGTCACAGGTAATCTTGTGAAATTCGGCGGCCATATTTATTCTGTTGGTCAAGATCAAAGTCGAATAAAAAATTTATTGAACATTGGTGGCAGACACAAGCTACGCTTATAAGTAATTGTGACCTTTTTATGGAAAAGATAAAGGGTTTCATTGTATACAATCCTTTTTCACTAAGGATGTAATTTTTATGACGCTTTGGCCTGATAAAAAATGTAAAGCCCCGTCTTGAAATCACGTTCAAAAAATACTTTGAACGTAGGATTCTTATGATGACCTGGGAATCTATTTCCATCTTTGATTAAAAATCCTGATGCTCTTAAAATAGTGCCATACTAAAAAAACAAATATTTTAAAATAATATATTGCAAAATATATTTTTTTAAGACTTAAAATCTTTATTTTATCTCGTTATGGATTGTACCTTCTTTCCATTCACTTTATGATATGTTTAGGTACCTAGATTAGACTATCTTGGGAACAGGCTTATATTGAAATCGGCTTCTCTTGGAATGGATCCGTCCTTGGGATAGGTTGTATGTTGTTTGGATGGCACCTGATAAAAAACATGGATATGTCTGTCCGCTGTTTGGATTGCCTAGAATAAGTGAATTCATGAAAATTCAATTGTAATTTTTGTATTATTACTCTGTAATTAATTTTATAATAATTAACTCCATACATTCATTCCAAACTTGAAAATATTAATTCTGAACTATGATGAAATCTTTATTTTTTTCTTGTTCCTTCCATTATATCTTATATATCTTAGATACCAAATATTCAATTAACGTCAATGTTTTGGGAAATCATGAAGTTATATTCCTTGCTATTTTAAAACTTATAATTAAATTGTCTGCAATACTTGTATGGCAAACAATGTAGCTCATGATAAAGAAAGAAGAAATGAATTTATTCCCATATTTATTAGATGAAACATTGACATTTTTTATTCGTATTTTTTGTTTTAGCTACAAAATCAATAACAAGACTTCCAATTTTGTTGCATTGGTGCGCTCTCCCCCTCTCCTCCCATCTCTCTCTCAAAAAGGGGAATTTACATTAAGTTTTATCTGTTGTGTGTGTGTGTATGTGAGAGAGGGAGAGAGAGAGTGTTTAATTGATGGGTGACAGAAGACTCCTAGAGTGAGAGAAACCTTGGATTTTTTATGGATAACCATGGTTCCTAGAGAGATATATTTGTACAACAATTGATGCAGATGTTGCATGATAAACTTCATTGCACTTCTAAAATCAAGTAGTCTCTAGACAATGTCAACCACAACCTCAGTTGAGTATCAAATACAAGATTTACATATTCACGAGATGTTCTTGAACAATACAATTATGAAAATGAAAAAGATGAGTACAACAATAAAAGCATTAGTTATACATAGGAACTACAAATATATTTTAAGTGACCCAAGTCAACAATGTTGGATTGTTGTACTACCATTGGTTCATGAATTTCTAGGTCATGTTCATGTGATTCTTGTGGGCGACTCCATTGTGATGCATTTTGCTGTGTCAAATTTGACATTGACGGGGTGGGAAGCCCCCACTACTTGTAGATGTTGTCGACATTCTTGTTGCATTGGACATGAACATTCATAAGTGGCAATAAAGTGAAAGTTCATTGATTTTTGAAATTTTAAATATATTTTTAAAACTTTTGATTTCTACCATTATTGTTTTGTTAATTTAGATAAATAAAAGTTCTTCTCCCATCCAGCTACATTTTCTCTCAAAAAATATTCTTCTCATCCCATGTATATGCATTTCATTCCTTTGAAAAGGCTTATAAGAATGTGAAGCATTTGCTCATTATAGTAAAAAAAAAGAGCATGAAATAGAAAAAAAAGCAATTACGACTCATTATATTCATTTCATTCCTTCAAAATTAACCATAGAAGTCAAACATATTCCTTAATCGAATGGCAAACTAAAAAGCGGCATATATGAAAAAAGGCATGAAGATAATGAATTTTCAAACAATCTTGGTGATACAAGTGCCTCTTACTATGTCTAGATTGCTTTGCAATTAATAAAGCAATTGACTAATTTACTTAGGTAATATATACCATAAAAAATCATACGTCTAGTTAGCTCATATCCTACAAATTATACAAAATGAACAATGTCATGGTTAAGTTTCTAACACAACCTGACATATATAGCCAAAAATTGACAACGAAATTTTGACATGAATTACTGGTTGTTTAGACTTTGTTGCTGCTCAACAGCTATTTGACAAGTTTTAACCACTTTTATTGCTCAAATGCACATCCAAAAGGATTCATTAATCTTCTGCAAACATAATCAAATGTTCTAAAAACAATCACATATCATATTCAATTGGTTCCGTGCATAAATTTTGATTGAAATCAAAGAAAATGCTGCTGATTGTTTTATTACAAACAATTAGAGATACAATCATGAAGGCAATGAAGATCTCAACCATAACCACATGCTGCTGGTTTCTAGACAGCAATGGAGATCTCAACCATAAATAAGAAAAGAGAATTAGCTAAGACAATGAAAATAGAGAGAAAGAGAGAGAGAGTAATGACATATCATCTCATACACCAGAAGGCAGTAACAAACCATTAGAGATACATAATTAACCAAAAACATCAAAATTCAACACTCATACCAAACCACGATTCCTAAAAACAAATTCGCATATTCATGTACAAATGGATGGTCAATTTTTCAGCACCAAAAAAGTGTACATATATAGCACATCATCAGCTCGTCCAAAAAAGAGTTCACATATAGTGAGTGCACATTTCAATAGAAGAAAAGAGCCATAGTATACAAAAGCTTACTTGGACTATTGTAAATGTATCATCCAATCTCAAGAGCAAGCTAAGAATCTGTTAAACAAAACCGATTGGATTTATGACATACGAACTAAGCTACAGTTCAATGAAAAAAATAAAAAATAAAAAATAATACACAGTAAAATATTAATAGAACCAAATATCAACAATGAAGATCTCAACGAATGCTGTTATCTTCGCTTCGCCCTAAACGAAGCACCCGAAGTCTTCTGTTTTTGCCTCAATAATGAAGTGAAACCAAATACTACTCTTACTTTGTTGCTTGTTAGTTTTAAAGCTTTCCATAAGCAATTAACAGGATGTAAGTCTTTGTATGAATGCCACGTATGGCAAGAAAATACAAAAAGAAAATGCCACCTTTCATACCTCGACACGTATAGAAGGAAATACAAAAAAGCAATATTGCCTCACCTACTTTGAGCGGCTTAAAAAATGGTCAAAAGTGCAGTAATAAAAAATGATATTTTTTTGAAGTTTGAAAAAACTGTTCTAGGTATTTTTGCTCGTAATTCTAAGGGCATTAAAAAACAAATTAAAAATGTAGTACTAAAATAATATTTAAGTATTTTATTTATTATTAATTGTAGTAATAAATTTATATATTATTAATTTTTTATTTTTAAATTTGTTATGAAATTAAAAAATTGATTTTTATTTATTTTAAAATAAATAAATAAAAATCGAAGTCTTCCCTGAATCAACCAAGTATCGAATTGCTTCATTTTTTAGACCAAACCAAAGCAAACTCTGAAGCGAATCTGACAACATTGATCTCAACCATAAATAAGAAAGAGAATCAACTAAGATAGTGAAGATAGAGAGAGAGTAATCAGAATAATCAGATGAGGAACTCGATATAAGCTGCAATTATCACACAAAATGATCGAGAAAGACATCTATATTCAACCCATAAACATTAGAGAGAACTAAAGATGGTTAATATAACATCAAAATTCAACACCCATACCAAAAAACAAATTCGGTATGTTTGTCCACAAATGGATGGTCAATTTTTCAGTACTAAAGATTCAATTAATGTTGACCAAAGTTAAAAAAAGTGTGTATATATAGCACATCATCAGCTCGTCCAAAAAAATGCACCTATAGTGAGTGCATGTTTCAAAACCATAACAATCCAAAAAAGCATGAAGAAAGAGATGGAGGAACAAGTTGCATCTATGGCAGTGTTGTTCTACATTGCACACTGTACACATTGAGGATGTACTCGATTATGTCTTCCCAACTCATGATCAAGAATATCGTGGTCTTATTTTCATGGTCTGCAATATCTTCTGCTACAATCATCATGACCCTTGGTGTAAAGCCTGTGATCTTGGATATGGCATCAGTAACCTGAGTTGTTCTTAGATTTGGCATTTGTTTATCCATGATTTTCACCTAGATTGTACACCATGTTATCAAGGGAGTCATTTATTGCCCTCATTTTCTTTGGCCTTGCAACTTCATTCCTAGGCACTCTTCTAGAAGCACTTGTCTGTAACGACATCTCAGGTACATCCTCATCGTCATCTGGTACCTCGTCGTAATTGATATCGATATCTCTCATTGACACATTATCATTTCCTGTAGGGGTTTAACTTTCTTGCACTAGCATGGTTGGTGTCCTCGCCCCACATCCTTCAACAACCTCATTGCTAATGATTATGCTAAGCACATCGTAATAAGGGAAGGGCTTATCTTTCCACCCTTTAGCATCCTCGTTGCTCTGCATGATTCGGGAGAACATATTGCTACTACTACTTTAGGCATGATTAACAATAACTAAGAAACGAAGATAAAAGCACATTACTCACCTCAATATAAGCGTCCCATACAAAATCGTCAATAAGTACTTGGTGCCTGACAGAATCCTAACCAGAACCACTTTGTTTTTAGATTTTCCTATCAACCAAGTAGTTGGTTCGCCAATTCTTCATCTTATTTTTGAAAGCGTCTCTTTTCAAGTCCATGCTAGCTTTCTTTAAAAACTCCCGCTTGATGGCGACCCATTGTTGTGGTTTATAGTCTTTTACAACTTTCTCAGTCTTTAGTGTCTTTTCAACAAGTAGATCCAACAAAATTGTTTCCATCTTATTAGACCAAAGTTGCCTTTTGGCCTTACTAGAAGTTCCTTAGGTCTCAACAATAACGTCATCCATACCTAGTAGCAAATAAAGAAGCATTATG